TCCTTTTCTTTCTTTATGCTATCAAGCATTATTCAAAGTACATCCATCTTACTGTCAACACAATTCAGGTTTTACTACCTATAACGTAAGTTTATTCCTGAGATACTGATCCACTTTCAGCGGAAAGATAAAAGTCCAATTTCTAGAAATAAGGATAAAACCTCAAAAGGCAGTACATTTGCTAAATTAAAAAGCATTTTTAGTGGCCTGTCAACCTTCACTGGAAATACCCCTGTGTTGCAGGATATATTAAGATTTAATAGAGTAAGTGTAGAGCAGAATATAATGATGAATGGTCTGTTGCAAACTATTTGACATTGATACACATATCCATGTCTGCAGGCAGTTACAGGAATTCAATATTGCTATCATGTTGTTCTACCTTTGTTTTCCAAACCAACACTTTCCTTATCATATTAGATAACAAACAAAATATAGACCATGGACAAATCGCTCAGTTTGTCAAGACTCAACTCTCAATGTTAATTACAAAACAAAACAAAACAAAACTATCAGACTAAAGGAAAAAGAACACATAATTATAGATCCATAGACTTTCAATAAGAAAAGATTACAGGTAAAATAAACATCAGATAGCTGTCAGTGAATCACATGGTATTTCAATCATTCAATCTAGGTGTCTTTCTATTTACATATACATATTATTTACACATAGTAAGATTACAGATAATCTATACTAGCATATTTGAGAATGTGTTCCCTGGAATATTATTTTAACCCCCCTCACCTCTCAAAAGATGCTATGTCATACAAGCTTGGATAACACTGCAACAACATCCTCCTCTTGGATTCTTACAATGTGCATCAATGTATTAGGGGCTTTGAAAAGTTATTCTGTAAATGAGCCAACTAATCATACCTAATGTGGTCAAATTTATTAGACTTGGGAACCCCTCTGACTGTGTTCATTATCCTGTGGAATAATTATTCCAAAGAATACATTTGGGAAATGCTTATCTGTACATTCTGATGATACCAATTTTTCTATCTCTAGCAATAAAAATAAAAGTTACTTTTCATCACTGTTGCTATGCAGTAATAGTAATGAATATTTTGCTGCTGTATGTTGAAGCAAAATGTTAGTAAGATTTAATATCTGAGATATTATTCATAAGGATTGAGTATAAATGCCTGAGTTCCTTTCTATAATGGAGAACTACAAATTTCCTGTTTATATTCTAGCTGGTCCAACAACAAAAAGAATATGTTATCTTGAAAATAATTTGCATCTGCATTTCCATCTAAAACATGTACACAGCCCAAATTTAAAATATTTCCCATAACAGATTCTATCCCAGATCAATCTAATAAAATCCATACAAATGTATGCATGTGGGTCTTTTTGTATGGACACAGGAAAAATGTGCTTATATAGTTAAAAAAAAAAAGACTTCTTTTACCTGACTCCAGTGAGGACATCATTTTAAAAAGCTTTTAAAAACCGTATTTACACAAACAAAAATAAAACTATAATAAAATTAAACCATGTTCACTATCAACTTTTCTGACTCTAAATTTAAAAATAACTATGTCAAGAAAATATTTAATACTAAGTGGAGCACAAGGAACATAGCTTAATGGATGATCGGTAAAATTGCTTTATTATAATACTGCTCGTGGAATAAAATCAACACACGTAACTTGTACATGCAGGGGAAATACAGCCTAATGAAACATGGTTTTTAGCACATTCCTTTACTAGAATGTGGTCACCTGCCACGAAGTACACAAGCTCATGCACAGGTCAAGACTTTACATACAGCTGAGATCACAATGTCATGCATATAACAACAGCGTGCTAGATAATCGTACCACAAACTGTGCAGATGTTCTCCCCCACCCCATGAGCCACTGCCAGCAGTTGCTATGGAGTTTGGTTACCCATATCCGTGACATGAACGAGGTCCTTTGGAGAATCTTGTTCCCTGTGGCTGCAAGTATTCTTATTTTTATAATATTTTAATGATGCTTGCTATCAAAATGTTAAGTACAGAACTAGAAGTTATGAAAAAAGTAGGCTTTTTACAATACTGAACAATTATAAACATCTCAGATACAATAAACACCACTTACATTTAAACATAGCATTAAAACTAATCCACTTCTCAGCCTTAAATTGACCCAAAATAACATATCTGATGACAGTGCTCCAGTGAGGAGAAAAAAACAAATCAATCTCCAAAAAGTACTTACTGATTTCTAGCACTTAAAAAATGCACCAATAGTCATTCTAAGACCTGGCTGAAGTATGACTCATACAGAGAAGTTCTACATAAAAACATCTATTAGAATATCTCTCAGTCACGACTTCAATTTTGAAGGCTTGACTTGGATAAACAACCAAATTGACATTGATTATTTATATTAGTCAATGAAAGAAAGTATAGCATATAGTCATTAAAATACTTCCCCTCATTTCTCTGCACCTACACTGTATCTCAATATCCTTCTTTGCCTATTTATATCCTAAGTTCATTCTGGTAAAGTTCTATTCTGCTATTCGGTGACACCTCCTAAGTTACTGATGTTCATAAAAGCATAGAATCAGAATCCTGGAACCACAAGTCACTTTGAATGGTTCAGCTCTATGCCTCTTGGCAGCGCTATATGCTCCTTTCAGGACAGTGAATTCAATACTTCTGGAATGCTCCAGGATATCTTTAAATCAGGCCAGGGAGTGAAGAAAAAGCAAATACAGCCAACTCTCAATAACAATGGGAGGTAGGATGGATATGTAATTCTGAAGATCTAAAAATCTTATTTTAATTAATAACTTCAATCCCCTTGCTTAGCACACATTTGACTTAAAAATTTTTAAAAACTTTTGTTAGATAAAAAGAAGACTTTAACTTTACCTCTTTTCTCTGCCCCCACTCCAAATACTCTAGAGGAGGTATAACAAGAACCTATAGTCTGACATATGTAGCTGCAAAGATGGAAACATATTTCGATATCTAGCTTTTCCAATTTAGACATTTCAAGCTATCAATATTATATTATAGTATATGAGGGCCTATCTACATTTTCATCTTTGCATAAAAATAATGGCTTTATAATTTGTTTAAAAATTGGTATTCCTTTAGCAAGAAATGACTACTTACCATAATCAATATCAGCAGCTGCATCCAACTTTTCTGACTTTGTAAATCTACAACTCAGTACTTACCAAGTTAAATCTTCCTTAGAATGTAATGTTTGCAAGTGATATGGATTGAAGATGACAGTTTTACTCAACATCAGTATAATTAATGACAGGAGCCAGTATGCCTTGCTAAGTTGAGCATAATATGACTGGGGTTTGTAATAGCTGCCTTTCCTGATTCTTATGTATTTGAGTAAAACATTGCATTATTCTATTTCAGTTCTTCTCCAGTAATCATCATTCAATTAACTCAAAAGATTGATGCAAAATATATTTCTCATTATCAAAGTTTGTCATATGAACTTGTTAACAACAAGGAATGTCTAATTCTGATAAACAAGAATAATGAAGTCCCTGAAACCATTTCATTCGTCAAATAAATACACAAGTGTAGCTTAATCTCTTGTACAGAGTAGGTATGCCATAGTGCAAGGTCAAAAACATGACATGCTTACTGAGTATGCTATATATTTAGAAGGAAGAGAACTTAGATTTGATCAAAAATAATGTAAAAACAAGTGTATTTTATGATAAAGGAATGCATCAGAAAAAATTTGTAATAAAGTGACAAGTTACAAGACTTAAATTTAGGATAGTTTATCCCTTCATTTGTCTTCTAAAGAATTATTGTTAATTTCTAAAAATTAGTATCATACTGGTTTCAAATATTTAATTTCAAATATATAATGTGTAGGTATGAGTAAGCCTTTGCAGTGGTGTTAGATTTCATTTTTCATTCATGTACAGAAAAATTTAACAAAGAAAAAAAATCGTATGTAACAAGCAAAAATCAATCTATCTTTAAAATGATGTCATTTGTATTATTATATGAGTATTTAAAAAATCAGTATGTCTGTTTAATATTCAAATATTTTGCATGGGAGAAACATTTCTTTAATCATAATGTAGCAGAAGTTAAAATATTTTTTTAAATATTTGACTGTATGATTTAAACAGTCCTTAATACCTCCACAATAAATGAAAAAAAAAGTTGGATTTTGAAAATTAAGTAAATTAAAATAATTGCCAGTTAAATATGTCCACAGAATAAACCCAGAAGTAACAGTTAAGTGTTGTATAATTTCCATTAGATTTCTAATAAATCTAGTAGATATTTAAACACCTATCTGAAAATTTGAAACTTTCCGGGAGATTTTAAAATGAGAATTGGGAAAATAAAGCCAGTGAAAGAACTGTCTTCACATTTTGTTCATTCTTACACATTATGTTAAGAAAGAGTTAAATAATTAATTATTAAGCAGTTATTCTTGCTTTGCCCCCTCTTCTTTTTTTCTGCTTATGTTTGTTGTCTTTACAAAAGAGAATTACATAATGCACACAAAATTATTCCATCTTATAACAGAATCTATAAGCAGTGTCTATGTCAACATGAAACTAGATTGTTAAAAGCATTATTTAGACAACATTTTGATGTGTTGCAAACCAGAACAACCTCTTTTGTGATTATCTGATAAAAGTGGCATCATTGCTAAATACCAACAATAAAACAGGAAGACAATGCTGCAGATAAAATTTGATGAACATATTTTATGCTCTCCTCTTATAGTGCAGCAATATCTCAATCAGGTCCAGTAGAGGACGGCACGTGTGTTATGGAAGCTGCCATACAAAGTGGGCAGCTAGAAAGATGAGAATATGACGTGGTAAGGTAAAAAGAAATGACTGCATCATACAGCAATAACTCAAAATACTGGGCTTCCTAGTGATTGAAAAGGCATGTTCAGTGACTTGTTATTTGCAAGTTTATTATATTGGAAGGCTGCAGCAAGACAGTAATAAAGTTCAAATGTTACAGATATTCAAGCTTTTCTCTTACCTCGTCTGGGTTGGCATTAAATGTGAGGCTCCCTTCATCCAGCTGCATGTACAATTTTCTAAAAGAAAACCCTATAGGTGGGTTCTTATTGTATATGGAACAGTGACCCCAAGTAGATTTACACAACCTATAAAAGATAAAATCAGACAAGAAAACATTACCACATTTAATTTCCCAAGTTAAACGTGTATACACATGATAAGATAATAACATGAAATGATACAAAATTAGATTTTACAGCTCTAGGTAGTGGTTCTCAACCTTCCTAATGCCACGACCCCTTAATATAGTTCCTCATGTTGTGGTGACCCCCAACCATAAAATTATTTTCGTTGCTACTCTATAACTGTAATTTTGCTACTGTTATGAATCATAATATAAATATCTTTTTGTTTTCCGATGGTCTTAGGCGACCCCTGTGAAAGGGTCGTTGGACCCCCAAAGGGGTCGCGACCCACAGGTTGAGAACCACTGCTCTAAAGTTTAAATGTTTAATTTTATATTTTTGTTCACTAGAGTATGATAGACAAATGCCTTCAATTTAGCAATTTTGATAGCACTTAGTAAATGTGAGTTACAAAGATTAATAAAATTTGTGAGTGCTATCTGAAGTTAAATAAAAACTAATAATAATGATGATGATAGCTAACATTACTGAGTGCTTACTAAATGCCAGGCACTATTTGAAGCATTGTCACAGCATTAACTTGCTTAATCTTTACAGCAATCCTATGATGTCGGTGCTATAGGTAAAGAAACACAGACATGATAAAAAAGTTGCCCATGGTTGTGCAGCAAATTTGTGTAGAGGCAGAATTTGAACCCAAGGGTCTTACTCTAGAGCTTGCAATCTTAACGAAGAAGCTAAGCAGATTAAGTAAACTACTTGCTCTATTGTGACATAAAACTGAATGGGGTTGGGGGAAGATTGTTGGGCAGGGAGACAACTTTGTTTTTTTTAAACTATATATATTAACAACAGGCAAACTAAATACAGAAATTGTAATGCTGTAACTCAATACATACATCAAAAGCTGTGACATTAAGCAAAGCTGTTTTTAAGATATTGCTTCTAAAACACTGGCTTTTTTACTATCACAGTGATACATGATTGTTTAAAAATTCTACAAAAAGTAAAATGCTAACAGTTCATATCTCAAAACGCATTCTCTCTGCAGATGGGGTCAGTTGTCTCAAACTCTGTACAGAGCCATTGCTACTGGTTATTATTTGAAAGCTGAAGATTTATCTTATTACAATGCCTAGAAATTCTGGAAATATACCACAGATCATGAAATATAAATGCATTACTCCAGAGACATTGAGAGTACTGAAATTATTTTTTGATACATTTTTTTAAATTTATTTTTTTATTGTTAGTTTCAGGTGTACAGAACAATACAATAGTCACCCTTTTCACCCTCACCAGGCAACAACCCCCTTCCCCCCATCCACCGCCCCCCACCCCCGATATCATGCCCATCCACCACAATTCCATTGAATCCGTTCCCGCTCTCCACTCCATGTCCCGAAACTATATGTACATTTTTTAATGACTGTCTCAAAATGGTCTGATTCTTGTGTGTGTTCAAAAACACCTACTTATAAACATGAAAGCAGTTTCACTTTCTGATATTCATTATTGATTTTTGGTTCAATCTTCCTTCTTTTCACTCATATATAGAAAAACAAGAAAAAGTTATTGTCTCAGCCTATAATGTAAAAAATTGTGATGACAATGGATAAAATATTTAATTGAATATGAGAATAACTTTTTAATAGTTCATTTGTATCCTTGCATTATTTTTACCAAATGAAATAATTGATTCTAAATCAGTTTAGTGCAGCATAAGGAATATAGACAATAATATTGTAATAAGTATGTATGTTGTCCAGTGGGTACTAGACTTATTGAGGGGATCACTTTGTAAGTTATATAAATGTCTAACCACACACGACGTTGTACACCTGAAACTAATATAATATTGAATGTCCACTGCAATTGGAAATACAAAAATATTTCTTAAAATCAGTAAGTTTAGTAACTTGTTTAGAAAGTTATCAACATTTTAATAGTCTCTTTAACCTAGTGCCATAGCTTTTGATTTTTATTACTAAGCAATAAAACCTCCCAACATTAGTTAAGTATTCAACACATCCAAAGTTAAAATAAAAACGAAGGCAGCATTTAATTTAAAATAGAAGTAACTTATCACTAAGAAAAAAATCCAAGTGTCACAAAAATAGGCATAATTATGTGGTAAACAAAAAGGAAGCATTTCTTTTAGAAACAAACAATCCAGATATAAATCCCAAATGAAAAATACATTCTGGTTGAGTTCATTCAGATGAGCTTAAATATAAACTTTTTTTTCAAAGTTCAAATATAAGAACATAAGTTTGCTGGAAATACTAAAATGTAGAAAAGAGATTAGAAATAAAATGAGCCAGTTTTAAAGTATTTTCATTTCCTCATACTAAATCATTAAAAAATTAATAACTATAATTTATTTTAAACATTACTTAATAGAATTTCCTCTTACTTCCATAGTGCCTTTACTATGACAAGACAATGTGAGAATGTCAAGACAATACTGATGATTTTTATCTATTTAGAGGCTGAGAAATGAACTATATAATTAATACTGTAATTCTGTAGCATCAGGAAGCCTAAGTGAGGAATGCCATTGTTGGTAATACATTTTGACTAAAGATTGGCTATTTAGATAATTTATTCATTCTCTCAATTAGATTTTCATTTAGAAATTATTTAAAGTCTCAAAAAGACTTTTGTTGTTAGATATGTTTTATATCATTATGAAGTCCCTTTTTAAAATAATGAGACAAATAAGTTTTGGTAACTAGAAAACCAATGATTCTCCTACGTTTGGTAACATTTTCTCAACTCAAGTATATGGTGCTCTTTAAGGATTAATTTAATAAAATAGATTCTACTCCACCAAACATTCTTAGGTTTATAGCTTATATTTAAACTGCCATAATAGCTGCTTATACTTCTAAAATCTACTATATTCAGTTCAGCAAGCAGATTGTCTCCTTGCTTTCTAATATTTGCCTACTTCATATGAAACGGTGGTTAGAAAAAAAAATAGATGAAATATTCACCAATTAAAGTTTATGCTTACAAGCACATCTGATAAAAAGAAATATAGGAATAAGAAGACAAACACACACATACTCTATCTGTAACCAATGAAAACAATAAGATTTGGGGAATATTTGTTGATTTTTAAGTATGCCTAGTCTTCATATAGGAAGCACAAACTACACCAGGGGTGTGAGCACTCTAAATTTTGGATTATAAACTCTCACTTAGCAACCTGTTGTATTTTTAGAATGAATTGACAATTTCTGATTTATAATAAATGGACACTTCTTGATTGGTAGCCTCTATTCTAACTGTAGTCATTATTTTCTTTTATACTTCCTTTCTTTTCCCAATATCAAATTTCACATAATGATAACTGTATCTTTATATTTCCAGGTTTTAATAAAAAGCAACTCAAAATACAAGCCCAGGTTAAAAAGAAATATTTCATAGTGCACGTATCTATTATAAAAAGAACACTTAAGATGATTATGTTTAGAGATACAGAATCAAACATGGCGGGTTGAACTTACCCTTGCCAGAGAAGTTCATCATTAGCGAGGTCCTGCCAAACACATGAAGCTAAGCAGAGGTCAGTTGCATTCAGGTAGGACAAGATGGTAAAGCTTAGCTCGGGAGGCAACATTTCCAAATTAATGAATCCTTCCTGTTCTTTAGATTTCCTGGCCTTCAAAAGATGATATATGTCGATGCCTCCTTGGACTTGTTTACGATGACTGCTGTTAGAGATGCTGCTGGCAGCCATCCTCCTGCTCTGCTCTCTGCTGAGGTAGCCTTGTTCACTGTACCCTTCCTGCTGTAGCTGCTGATTTCTGGCCACTCTCCACAGCCCCTGACCCATCTGCAAGCCTGGGAGCAAGCCAGAATGAAAGGTTACATGAAAAAGGAAACTGCCTTTCCCAGTGGTACAACAACTCTGACATGAAGTATTCATTTATCAGAATTAACATTCCTCATTAAAGCATATTAAAAGGAGTAATATATTACAAAGAATAGCTGGAACATCGTAAGTACAAGACTTGGACAGAGAAACTTTCAGAAATGTTTGGTTTATCACCTTTATCCCAGTTTGCTAACTACTTTAAAAGTCCACAGGTGACATAATCATTTTTCACATGGTGAGATTTAAAAGTTACTGATGTCCTAAAGACTCTTACAAATTATAATTATGTGGACTTATGGGCTAGTATTAACTAGAGCTCTGATCAGAGCACAGGACTTGATTTAAAAGGCCTCTAGATCCTGCTTTTTATCACAACTCAGGCTAAGCTAAGCTAGCTCCTTTTAACCCAACTCCCAGATGCATAACAGCTGTGAAACAGGCTTTTAGTTTAATTCTTGCCAGTCTACACTCATGTTGTAGACTGTAATAAAACGTAACATAGGCCCTGAAGTCTAATTCAGAAACCTTATAAATTAGACACCTAGAACTCCATGATTAATAGCTCAGTAATGACTATTTGGTTTTGTCGTTACTTTAAATAAAAATCATAATTTAGACGAATTTTCCAGTTCTTCTCCATGTAGCCTTCCAGATGCCTCAGAGGTCCCTGAGAAAAGGCAGGAGAAGGAGCAAGCTCTGCTCCATCCAGTCTCCTCCTCCTCCATCCATGTGACCTCCAACCAGAGCAGCTCCACATTTCTTTCTCTTTTACAAATCTTGGACTTCCTCGTAGATGATATATAGAGAAAACTACTGGCCTAGACTTCCTATTTGATCTTGGCTTTAAAATAAGTAACTTTTCCTGGGCAAATAAATTCATTGAGAAAAATGAAATCAGAAAGAGCTTTTAACTAATATAAATAATTACTTTCATGACCTCTTTTCCAAACAAAATATTCTTTTTTCATAAACCCAAGTTGGCTACTAACGTGTGTGTATCTCAAAAATTTGGAGAAAAAGTGATTTTTTGTATAAAATCATCAAACTAAATTTCATAGCATAACCTGACCTTAAAATATGGGATTGTTTTAAGTAGCTGTTTACAATAAGGACCAACAGAAACACAAACAAGAAACAAAACCCACTGGTCACCAGAAATTTTGAAAATTATTAGGAACAATTTGAAAATTAAGTAGAACTTCAAAGAATGTGAAAGATTATTTTTTTCAATATCTATAAAGGTATGATTCACATGCCTCCCTGAGCTACTGGCTATTATTTGGATAACTGTCACTATAATGGTCACTTGTTGATCAAAACAGAAAAAAAGAGTCCAAAATAATTTTTCACTCTTCTTCCTTATAATGAACTGCTTAGAGTTATAGAAACTTAAGCTGTAAAGGGATGGGGATTCACAGAAAATAAATATATTAATGATTTTTAAATGTGGGGAAATTTGTTTTTGTAAAGAAACCACAAAAGATAACCTTTCCTCCCTACAACACAACAATGGTAGCAGTTTGTAAATTTGTGGTTAAGCTATAATAATTATTTTTTAAATACAGAATCTTAAGATAATAAAAAGACAAGCCACAAACTGGGAGAAAATCTTTGCAAAACACTTATCTGACAAAGGACTGGTATCCAAAATAAACAAGCAAACTCTTAAAACTCAACAGCAAAAAAAACCCCAATCCAAATTACCCACTTAAAAAATGAGCAAGATCTCTAGAGATGCTTCACCACACATACAGATAGCAAATACACATATGAAACGATGCTCAATCTCACATGTTATTAGGCAATCACAAATTAAAACAACAATGAGATACTACTATTAGAATGACTGAAATCCAAACAACTGACAACGCCAAATGCTGGCAAGGATGTGGGAATGCAAAACGGCACAGTCACTTTGGAAGACAGTTTGGCAGTTTCTCACAAAACTAAACATGCCTTTACCATATGATCCAGCATTGATACTCCTTTGTATTTTCCTAAATAAGCTGAAAATTTATGTCCCTGCACGTGAGTGTTTACAGCAGTTTTAGTCATAAGTACTCAAACTTATAAGCAACTAAGATGTTCTTCAGTAGGAGCATAGATAAAACTGTGGTACATCCAGAAAATGAAATATTTAGCACTAAATGGAAATGAGCTATCAAGCCATAAAGAAACATGAAAGAAATTTAAATGCATATTACTAAGTGAAAGAAGCCAATCTGAAAAGGCTACATAATGTGATTTTAATTAAATGACATTCTGAAAAAAGGCAAAACAACAGAGAGAATAATATAATTAACACAGAAAAAATATAGAGCATCCACAAAAATTTGTAAGGATTTTTAAGTTTGCTGAATGTTTAAGTATGCCACATCATATTACAATATGTGTGCAATTTGATTTTGATACAAATTTAATATTTTAAAACTCGCAATCATAAAGAAAGGTATTTTATTTCGTCATGGCTATTTCTGTGTTTATCTCAGCAAGAAAATATCTAGAAATCACATTGCTAAGCTCATCTAGCCTATCAGTTGTCATTTTAGATACTCACACTTATTCTTCTCTTTTGCTTTAGCACCACTAAAGGTAAATAATGAAACATGCATGGTAACTATGGTATTTGAAATCTCAAGATTTAAGGCATTTAATATCAATTCCTGTGTATTTCCCCTACAGCATCTTTCTAGTGGCATATGGTTAAGCAGTTGTTACTCTCAGGAGTGTTGCTAGGGAACACAGATTCAGGGTGATTTCCCTAGGCTCTGGACTTTAATGGGGATCACTTAAATTGAGTGCTGAATGTGATTCAGAAAGCATCCAGCAGGTAGAAAGAGGTAAAGCCAGCAGCTGGTTCTTAAAGAAAAAACAAAACAAAACCTTGATGGGGAGGGTGGAAGTCCAGGCTCATATACATATAATTCAGACAAAGAAAACTGCATTTTCTACTCTCCTACTGTTAAATAATACTGCAAATTGCCCTTTTGCGACTCCATTTTCCATTTAAAGCAGTTGTTGATACTGGGCAAGAACAAAGTAGGATAAACCACTTGAGGAAGATTAATATCATAAGTTTATCCTTTGGAGAAAGGAAAGGGTATCTATAGGGTTCCACCCACTCCCAATCTTCCTTAGGGTACAAGGATGTGGAATGTGAGTGGAACTGTCAGAAAAGTGATAAAACTCTCAAAAGGACATGAAATCCATTGCAGACATTGTGAAGCAAGTCATGGAGGCAGTAGTGTTGTGGACTCTGAAAGTGAACAGACTGGAGGTGAAATCCTCACTCCACTGGTTATTACTTACAGGACCTTGGGAATTTATGTGACTATTCTACGTTTTAGTTTTTTCACATGTAATGTGGAAAATAATAATACTGATAGCTCAAAACGCTGTTGTATTAAATGAGATCATGCATATAAAGTTTAATTCCACAGCTAATAATCAATAAAATGTTATCTATTAATTTGTTTTGACAAAATAATATTTTCAAAAAGTGAAAGTCGTGAGCACTTTGGTAAAACATATTTAATGATACTTCAATTGTCCTGATGTTCTGCCTGCCAAATAAACTCATTTGTTCATGTGGATACTTGTATAGCTTTGTAAGGCTTGTAATACATATTGTAATACTTCATCTCCTATAGTGATCTGATTTTTTAGCCATGATTATTTTTTTCTCATAAATGCAATTCTTTTATATCAATGACCAAATTAAAAAAAAAACCGTAAAAAACAAAAAATCCTGTGCTACATTTCACAGAAAAATTTCAAAAGTCAGCATGTTTTACGATAGTGCCAACCAACAGAAATGGCAAGAAGCGGTCCTTGTGTTATCATTAGGAAGCTGTCAACATCTGGCTCTAAGAAAGATATAAAATATGATGCAATTTGATGCTGGGTACTTGCATAGCTTTAAATTCTTGAAGTCTGTCATTTGTGCCAGTTATTTGGTAAAAAAATTAAGCTACAGAGTGGAATCACTGAATAGGCAAAAAGTTTCAAACTGAAAAAAAAATAAACACAAAAGAAGATTTTGTATTTGAAATAAATAGTTGTGATGAATCCACTGCTGATAATTTATTTGTTCACTCAAAATAGGTCGAGGAAATAGGTATTTATTTCTTGGAAACGTTATTCTTATAAGAACATAATCTATTTCATGTACAAATAAAAGAAACAGAGTGAATTCTTATAGTTCTATAAAGTCTGCAAACACTGAATTAGCAAATACTGAACTATTGCCCCTAAGGGAAACACAGGGTCAGGTTCCTGGGAGCCTCTGGACAGAACAGATTTGCCGGCTGATCAATACATAACCTTATTTTATGTGTGCGTCTGTTGATTCAGTAATACAGAACCCACCAATCCTGAAAGAAGCTTATGGAGCATAGGTATTTCTCTATAAAGCACCATCACAGCCTTCTTGCACTTAGGAACCTCTTTGGGACTATGCTTGGGGGACATTTTAAATCACAAAATCATCAACGAACAGCACAAATGGAAAAAATATGGCACTAAATAGACCACTAAAAAGACTTGTTTACAAAAGGAGAAGAACTATTGAATAAAACAAGAAGGCAGAGCATTGCCTTGTTCAAACTTGGCTGGGAATGTGCGCCTCCACAGATGCAAATTTTTTGCAGCTCTGCACATATCCAAGAATAACTGGAAAAGTGCCACGGATATGGATTTGAGGATAAAAAAATAAAATTCAGTGAATAGGCAAACTCACAAATACAAAATCTACAAGTAATGAGAACTATAAATTAATATAATTCAACATGTCCTATGCATTTTCTTCAAATTTTGAATTTATTTGAAGTTTCTTTATGTTCAGAGTCTCTATGAAATTCTAGAGTTTTAAAATAAAACCAAAGATATTTTCTCTTGGTCTCCAAAAGTAAAAACAGTACTCCATTATTTATCATTTAATGGAAATAAGCAACAATTTCATAATTAC